AGTCCTTCTCAAGTCCCTCTCAAGTCCCTTCTCTAGTCCCATCTCAAGTCCCTTCTCCAGTCCCTACTCAAGTCCATTCTGTTAGTCCCCTCTCAAGTCCCCATCTCAAGTCCCTTCTCCAGTCCCTACTCAAGTCCCTTCTCTAGTCCCCTCTCAAGTCCCTTCTCTAGTCCCTTCTCAAGTCCCTTCTCAAGTCCCCTCTCAAGTCCCTTCTCTAGTCCCATCTCAAGTCCCTTCTCCAGTCCCTACTCAGTCCTTCTCTAGTCCCTAACTCAAAGTCCTACCAGTCCCTACTCTCAGTCCCTCTAGTCCCCTACTCTAGTCTCTTCTCAAGTCCCTTCTCAAGTCCCATCTCTAGTCCCTTCTCACGTCCTTACTAAAGTCCCTTTCCAAGTCCCTTTCAAGTCCCTTTCAAGTCCCTTCTCTAGTCTTCCCTTCTCTAATCCCCTCATCTAGTCTTCTCTAGTCCTTCTCAAGTCCCTTCTCAAATCCCTTCTCATTTCCCCTTCTCTAGTTCCCTTCTCAAGTCCAACTCATGTCCCCAACTCCATGCTTTGTTCCTCTGGGTTCTGCTGGGGGTCCTGCCAACTCCATGTTGCCTGTGCCGTTGGGGGTCTAGACGACACCTGTTTCGTCGGGGGTCCTGCCAAACTCCATGTCCTGTGCCGTTGGGGGTCCAGCCGACACCTGTTTCGTCGGGGTCCTTCCAACTCCATGTCCTGTGCCGTTGGGGGTCCAGCCGACACCTGTTTCGTCGGGGGGTCCTGCCAACTCCATGTCCTGTGCCGTTGGGGTCCCAGCCGACACCTGTTTCGTCGGGGGTCTCTGCCAACTCCATGTCCTGTGCCGTTGGGGTTCCAGCCGACACCTGTTTCGTCGGGGGTCCTTTCCAACTCCATGTCCTGTGCGTTGGGGGTCCAGCCGACACCTGTTGCGTCGGTGGTCCTGCCAACTCCATGTCCTGTGCCGTTGGGGGTCAGCCAACACCTGTTTGCTTGGGGGTCCTGCCAACACCATGTCCTGTCTCGTTGGGGGTCCCGCCGACTACTGTTCTGCCGGGGGTCCTGCCAACCCCTTGTCTTGTCGCTTTGGGGGTCCCGCAACTACTAGTCCTGCCCTCGGAGCCCGGCCCCTGACTTTCCCAGCCGATGCCATTCGCCCTCGAGCCGGGCCCCCTGACTTTCCCAGCCGCTGTGCTCTTCTCCCTCGAGTCCGGCCCCTAATTTACCCCGACGAGGCCTTCACCCCTGTCTTCGTCCCCTGAGTTTCCCCGCCGCGGACTTCCCTGCTCTGTTGCTGTTCCCCCCGGGCCGTCCGAACGAGTTCCCCCTTCTTGGCTCTACCTTGCCCCGGGCCCCGTCCGCCCTGAGTCACCCTTCTCGGCCTCTGCTTTGCCCCCGGCCGTCCGCCCGAGTCCCCTTCTCGGCTTCTTGCTTTGCCCCCGGGCTGTCCGCCCGAGTCCCTCCTCCGGTCCCCTTCACCCACCCTGCTGGATGTTTTGGACTTTTTGTTTTTAGGGATGTCGTGGGATCCGTCCTTGAGGGGGGGGTAATGTCACGATCTGTCCTGTGTTGTGCTTTGTCTTGTCTAGATCTGTCTTTGGTTCCTGTTTTATTTTGAAAAGTTTTCACCACCCCCCGTCTTGCCTGTTGCCTTCACTGTCTGTGGTGTTCCCTCCTACCTGTTCCTCCTCCTGTACCCGTTCCCTCCTACCTGATACCTGATTGTGTTCACCTTGTGCCCCTGTGTTTTCTCCTCCCTCCTCACCTGTGTCTTGTTTGTTTCATTAGTCCTGTGTGCATTTAGGTTCTGCTTTTTCTGTCTGTCGTTGTGAGATCCTTGTTTGTTGTTGACTGTGTTCACGGGGGAGAGAGTTCTGCTGTGTTTGTTACTTGTAGCCTTGAAATAAGGTATTATCTGTTAAACCTGCATTGGGTCCTGCCTGCTTCGCTCAACCCTGACAACCTGTGTAGCACCTGCTTAGATCTTCTCTCCCCCCTCCTTCCACTCATTTGACAGAAAACCAATAATAACCCCTAATAAACTGCAGACGTATCATTGTTTCTATTTTTTAATTTCCCTGCCACTAGGTTTTCTTTCACTCCCCCAGATAGCATATTATTATTCATTCTAGATTATCTTTTGCTCCTCTCATCGCACTCTAAAATGTGTTCCTCTGCTTCATTCGTGCCCATGTCCGTCCTTCATCTAACTATTCTCTCTCTTATTCTTGCTAACAGTAGCCTCCAGTAATCTACAGTAGTGGTGTGATCAGTGATGACAGAGCAATCATCTGAATTAATATAGCTGCAGAGAAAAACACTCCTCTTGGTATAATAGGCAGCTTTGATCATAGGGATGAATGCCATCATGTGCTGATCCACTGTGTGTGCACAATGCATGCATGCAAATGTGCATAGCTCTGAAACCTACTTCAAAGCAGGTTAATAACACAAATCTTACAATAGTACATTATACATTTAAGGCATTTATCTTTTGCTGCTTAACTTTTTCCTCAATTTTTGTTCTGTGTTGTTTCTAAGTGCTAATGCCACTCAATCAATTCACTGTCTTCAATAGCAATGAGGCCTTTTAACTCTATCCCTTTCAAATTAGATTTGCAATATAAAAGAGGCATCAGCCCGCTGTATTTAGTTGCAGGAGGCTCCTTCAAGTCGCCTGGAGTCTTTGATGTCTTTGCATGTGCTCATGCATCCTATGAGGGGCCGTACAGGCCGTAATTCATACTGGTCCTCTCACACAATACATTCTCCTTTTACATTCATATATTTTCACTCTTACACACATACATTCTCCTTTTACATTCATACATTTTCACTCTCATATACATATATATTTACACTCACACATTCATACATTTTGCTCTCTTATCATATTTCAATGCACACATTCATACATTGTCACTCACATATTTATACATTTTTCACTCACACATTTATACATTTTGCTCTTGTGCACATTCATTCAATGTTTACACTTAATATTATAAATAATATATGCATGTCTGAAGACAATATATGTATGCAAGAGAAGAATGTATGTATGTGTGAGAGAAAGTATAGTGGAAACGGAAGGAGTATAGTTGAAACGGAGGATTACTCAAAAAGTACACAGTAAAAGTACTTCATATTATTTCTGGTAGCAGTCAACTAGTACTGAGTCCAACAGTGTCAGTTTTATTAAGAACTTGTGGTAAAAATATTTGTATCACTCGTCAAAATTAGCAGGGGAAAAAATGAAGAGCTGCTGATTTTAAAAAACACACTCGAGAGACGGCTGAGGTGACCGCAGTGCAGAATCGCTGTATAGTTTACATCTAACGATGTTGTCCATTTTCGACAGAGGCTTATTATATTTACAGCCCTTAATAACTTTCCTTTTCTGGGCTCAATATGTGTCTTGGCCGTTTTCGTCGTGATCGCTAAATTCACCTCGTTTCCCCTTGTTTATAATATTATCACAGTTCCAAGCAAACGAGTGCTTTTGTTTTGAAATCACATCCGTGAGTTTTGCCCCGCACCTCGCTCCAATGACCACCAGGTAAAAAACTAAAAGCAAAAACGCTCTTCCGTTTACTTGTTTAATAAAGAAAAACAAATTGTCCGAAGATATACGGATTCATCTCCCTCCATCATGTTGATTTGAATCAGAAGTTCTGAACATGAGCCCACCCCGCTCGACCTTCTGAGCCAATCACAGTGCGATAATGACCTGCCTTCCGTTTCCACTATACTTTCTCTCACACATACATACATTCTTCTCTTGCATACATATATTGTCTTCAGACATGCATATATATTTATAATATTAAATGTAAACATTGAATTGAAAACAAGAGCAAAATGTATAAATATGTGAATGACAATGTATGAATGTGTGCATTGAAATATGATAATATGAGAGCAAAATGTATGAATGTGTGAGTGTAAATATATATGTATATGAGAGTGAAGACGTATGAATGTAAAGGAGAATGTATGTGTGTAAGAGTGAAAATATATGTATGTAAGGCGAATGTCTGTGTGTACGAGTGAAATATGTATGTAGGATCTGTGTGTGTCGTGCAAATATTGTATGTACGGCGCCTGTATGGTGTCCGTCCGTCTCTGTTGTCACGGATGTCTGTGTGTGAGAGGACCATATGAATTACGGCCTGTATGGCCCCTCATAGCATCCTGTGTGTGCTGTGTGTTCATGTATTATCTCCAGTGTTAGATCAGCAGATGCTTCAGCAGAGGGGAGCCTCATATCAGCCTGGATTTTCTCCCATTAGCTTAACATCCCCTCTTTTTCTACCTCCCTCCCTCCTTTACTCACGCTGTCAGAAATTGATGACCTGCAATTACACAGCATGTGTCAGTGCGGTTTAACATCATGTAATAGCTCCAAGCAGAATATGACTGAGCAAGCGGAGAACCACCAATCAAAGCACTAGTTTTCTAGCGTTTCACTGTACACAGGAAACACTTGCTGTCCAGCCTATAAAATAGGCTATATAACATTTCCACACCAATCCTGTATACAGTAGTTTATGATATAGTACTTGACAGTTGCAATAATATAACATTGATAAAATTGGCAATTAAAAGTTTGTTGACCATAAGATTGTATATTATTGAGAACCAGGTCCATGCAGAAATTGAATATGGTATAGTTTTAGCATTACAAGCCAATACTTGTGTAGGTACACAGGATGAACGTATGCGAATGTCCTAGTCTAAATAGGCTATCAATATTAAAGGTATATTTTGACTTTATGAAAGTCACGTGCACAGCGTTAGAAAAGAAAAGTGAAGGTTAAACTGAACAGGTTCAGAGGGTCAGACCTGTCTGTTGTTGGTTACACTTAATGCTACAGTGGCTCACTTTATAGTAAACTCATCTTATGACAACCGTATCACACAAATAAGGAGTTGAAATCCCCAGAGGAACTTGACTAACTGACACAGTACTGAGCTCCAGTGTTACAGCAGACTTACCGCGGAGACTCTGAGGCTTCATCCGAGGAGATCCTTATTAGTTGAAGACAAAGTGAGTCCACACACACACACAACACACCACACACACACACACACACACACACACACACACACACACACGGCTTCTCACACATAAAGGACACACACACACCTGCAGTGCTCCTGTTCCGCTGACTGTAGCCGTCTGTAGTGAGCGCGAGCTTCCTTAACTGTAGGCTGCAATGTGATGCCTTCACGAGCCCCTCGTAATATTTCCCGCGCTCCAGTGCCTCTCAAATTAGTTTTAGACCTAATTGTTATACTAATGATTTGTGTTTGGTACATAATAATCGTTAAATGCTGCCAGTAGGTTAATTTAAAAAGTAATTGTATGCAAACACAAATGTTTTAAATATGACTTTCAATAGCCTTACTGACTTTTAATACAGGTTAATCATAGTAAATAGTAAATATCAATTATATTCATTTAGGCCTACATAAAATGCTAATTAATATTCAATGACCATACAAAAATCAAGTACACTACTGGTAAGGTAAGGTGGTATTGAGTTATGAACAGCGAAATAGCAGTAGGAAGTTAAAACAATAATTTGCTGAACAAATTGAATTGGACGTTGAACTCGATTTTTCATGTACTCATGTTCTGCTCCAGGAAATAAAGTGAAAATAATCTGTAAGAAAACCCACACATAGAAGACAGAAAAAAAACGACAGGCCTCTATCCTCCCAAAGATATTGTGTACAAACTTAATACAATTTAAAAAAGTTGATTTACGATTAACCCTCCAGCGAATGCAACAGAAACTCCCAGTGTTTACGAATCAACACTGCCATCTTGGGGTACAATATGTTTCTGTAATAAAACGTCACAGTTTCCATCTCTTTTGAAATGTACAGGCATACTATTTTTTTCTGAGTAGTTGGAGTGTTGATTTGTATAGGCTCAGGAATCATGTTTTATATTAAAAGAACATGTAAAGGATTTTGGAACAGGTGCTACTGATGAACACTGTCATTCTTGTATCGTATGTGTCATTTAACTTATTTTGACCCTTCATTTCATACACTGAACACATTATTTTCAAGAGGGTGAGGACCTTCACCCAGGTTTTTTAATTGATTTGTTCAATATAACTGTTATTGGCCAAATGAGGTTATATACTTTTGCAAATGGAGTGTGCAATCCACAGACACAAATATATGAAGTATGTAATCAGACCACATTCAGGAGCACTGCTAGAAAAGCCGGGCATCCCAGTGATTTCACTTTAAGGGTTGTTAGGTTACCGCACACTGAACGTGGTCAATGTACCTAAATCATAAGAATGGAAAAAGTCATTTCAGTATTTAAAATGTTGTATTTTTTACGATGATTATGCTATACATTCTTTGTACGGAGCTTTTTGATTGATTAACAACTACAACTGCTATTTTATTAAACATTTTATTTAACCAGGTAAAAAGTCTCATTGAGATTAAAATCTCTTTTTCAAGAGCGACCTGGCCACGAGGGCAGCATGAACAATGTTACAACGAATAAAGCACAGACAATACAGACAGACAACTACAGCTGTCGTAAAACACAACATTTTTGTCAACATTTTAGTTGTAAAGTTTATGTAAAAATCCAAGCTGGAACAATATGTTACCTGGTTAAAATTCAATGCAAAATGGGGACTAAATAGATTTTAGCAGAACATTTTAATATGGGCAGAAGGAAAAAAACTTCAACATGTACTGTGATTTTAATATAAAATGAAAACAATGGAACAACACTTTTACACAATTTTTTTAATCCAACTGTGTATTGAACAACTTTTCGCATAGCCTGCAGCAGTCAAATTGTATTTTACATGCACTTATAACCCCACTGCTTACCCCATATTGAGGTTTTAGCTTTTCACTAATTGTAAGCTGATTCACAGTCACAACAATTTCAGCCAATGAAACATGCGTGGAAAGGTAAGATAGGCAGTTAATACAGGTAAAAATCACCAAGAAAATACAGCACACTAGATCTATATAATATATATGTTTATATGCCATATTTATCTACCCTATGGTGGTTTAACCTGTAGTAATAAACTAACTTTTAACTTGAAGCTTCAAAAATTAAAAAAGCTTTTACTATTTTGTAAGCCTGTCATGGTGTCATGTGGAGACAAAAGTCTTCCCCACACAAAGCCAGTGTACATGTTGCTCATACAGGCCCTGAGACCTGAGTTCAGCAAGCTATTACTGGAGAAGTACAGTTTCTGTGAATATTCAATACCTTCCTGCTAATTCTATTAACCGATAATACTAAGATCTTTACAGGAAGCAATAGGGCAGGATGCAGCATAGTATTAATTATCTTTACGTTTTGAAGGTGTTAAATTATGTCATGCATGACATGACTCACCAAAGGGTAACTAGTTAAAATAACATAATAAACCAATAATATAGGAGACAATTACAGTTCCGAAAGTTAAAGTGGACCTATCATGCTATATTTGAATAATATAGTGTAGGACCATACCTATATAAGACATATTTATACTTTTTTTTTTTCAAAATACCAAACAGATCATGCATTTTAGCCATGCCTCATTTCGCTCAATTTGAAAAAATGTAGCTCTGTTTTTGCAAGGGCTGATTCTGTGAGAACAGCACCACCTACAGGCCTGGTATATGTACTACAGCGTGAAAAAAGGGGCTGCAACGGATCTGATAAAAACTGGTCCAGATTTGAACACTGTCCTGACGTCAGGACAGTGGCGCTACGGCTATTGGGCCAACTCCACCAATCAGGAGGAGACAGCCACGGCCATTGCCGTTCGAAAGCGCTGGAGACGCTGTAGTACATATGCCAGGCCTGTAGATGGTGCTGTTCTCACAGAATCAGCCCTTGCAAAAACAGAGCTAACATTTTTCAAATTGAGCGAAATGAGGCATGGCTAAAATGCATGATCTGTTTTATTTTGAAAGGTGTTCACCCCCCTGGCTGCGTCTCAGGTCGACTATTTTCATTTCCTCGGTCGTCGGTCCTCGGTATCACCGGAAGTTGATTTGTCTGAGCCATCTTGAGTAGCGTCCCATGGCTCTTATTTCTGCCGAGGAGACGAGGATCGAGGAGCGAGGAGCGATAACGGAGGAGCGATAACCGAGGAACCACCAGACCATCCTCCGGTGAAATCCTCAGATACTCTCCCCGTCCCCTTACTGTGTATCGCTCACTGATTGGACGATGCAGCGCATGCACTGATCTGATGCTTCTTGACATGAGAGCAGAGTTTCCCAGCGGAGTGAAGAAAACACATGAAACTCACGGGACTCACTCCTCAGTGTATACTGTGTTTTGTTTCAATGAATGCATCATTCAGTTACAAATATGTGATATATCTGAACAACAAAGTGGTCAAAAATTATTTTATTCATTTATTGGAAACATTTTCATGAACGCTTTTTCGTTTTACATTTTCATTTATTGTCATTTCCATTCAGTCAGTCATTAAAGGTAGGGTAGGTAAGTTTGAGAAACCAGCTCGAGATCGCTAGAATTTGAAAATACACAACCGGAGAAAATCTGCCACTTCCTTATAGAGCCCCTCCTCCAACACACACGAACGCGCATATGACCAATGAGGGCACGAGATAAGTTTGTAATGGCTGACAGGCAGGTAGGCCATCCAGTTATTTTAGCCGGGCCGGCTCAGATGATTGGTCGTGCTTTTTACAGTATTAGGCTTCCACAGATGACATTTTTTTATGGATTTTTGTCAAAGCACTTAAGATATTCATTGCTATCGGGATGTTAAGAGCATTCCATGGAATATAACAAAAAGTGTATCTCGAGCCGGTTTCTCAAACTTACCTACCCCACCTTTAAGTGCTATTTAAATGTTAATTTGCTACATATCCACAAACAAACAAAGTGTGCAATCCAATGAATGTTAATCTAACTGGGTTTTGATAGATAACATATCTTTTTCTTCTCTGAATTATTTTATTTCTATTGTGCACTCTAATCAATATTAATACTAATGTTCGTTTATACATTTTAAGAATGGCGTTTATCTTTTTTGAGAATGAGTTCTTATTTGATTTTTTATTTGGGTCTACAACAGATGATACAAATGTTTGTGTCAGTAAATGTGTACTAACAGAGGCGAGGGTGTTTGTGAAAACAACGGGGACAGAGCTGCTGCTGTCAGACGACAGCTGTGCAGCGTCATCACAAACGGACGTCGCTTCACGTGACGCTCCGGAGGAAAGGACGTCCCATTGCTCTTAAAACTCATTTCCCTGCTTCTCGTGGTTTCCTTGCGTCTCTCCATGCTTCCCTGGTGGGAGGGACTACGCAGGGAAACGACGCAAGTGAGGGACGCAAGATTCCATTTAATCGACCTGAGATGCAGCCCCTGTCTTGCCTGTTGCTTTCTGTCTGTGTTCCCTCCTGCCTGATTACCCGATTGTGTTTTCTCTCCCTCCTCACCTGTGTCTTGTTTTTGTGATTAGTTTGTGTGCATTTAAGTTCTGGTTTTTTCTGTCTGTCATTGTTAGATCCTTGTTTGTCTTGACTGTGTTCATGGGGAAGAGTTCTGTTTGTTTCGATTTAAACCTTGAAATAAAGGTATTTCCTGTGAAATCTGCATTTGAGTCCTGTCTGCTTCGCTCTACCCTGACAGTATGTCATTTAATGTTAGTCATTTCATTACAAACCCCTGTCTGTGTGCCAAATCAGATCCAGCCACAACAGTTACACTACAGCACATTGTAGTTGAATGTAGTTATTAAAAAGTGAATAACTTTGACTTCTGACAGGTGGTACTATTGGTGACATGACAAATAAAGGGAAAACTAATACGGATCATAACACACCTATTATGCAAAATGCATAAATATGTGTCCCCGATGTGTAAGGAGACTCACAAAGTGTCAGAAAATACAACCTTCTCTCTTTTCCTCCTTACCCACATCTCCAAAACGGGGGTTCAACAGAGCTGATCCAGATTTGCTGCGGTCAAGACGACATTACTAAAATGTGGGCTGGCTTTACCTTGAACTCCTGTCAACGTCCCCCCACATCCCAACCTATCGTCCCCATATATAGTCGCTAGCTGAATCCCCTCCCTCAATTGTGTGTCTGTGTATTCAGCCGGATGTCTACGAGAGGGACTAATGGCGCATTTCCA